CCTTTTCTTGTCATGTCCTTGTCTGGTTTTGGTACTGTGCTGACCTCATAAAATGAAGTGTGGCCTCTTCTGTTTTTTGGAAGAGTTTTAGAAGGATCGGTGTCAGTTCTTTAAATGTTTGGTAGAATTTATCAGCAAAGTCAGCTCATCCTGGACTTTTGTTTGTTGGGAGGTTTGTGATGACTGAGTCAGTCTCCTTCCTTGTAATCAGTCTATTAATATTTTCTCTCTCCTCATGACTCAGTCTTGGTAGGTTGTGCGTTTCTAGGAATTTATCCGTTTCTTCTAGGCTGTCCATTTTGTTGGCATATAATTATTGATAGTGTGTTATGATCCTTTGTATTTCTCTTGTATCACTTGTAATGTCTTCTTCATTTCTGATTTGGAATCCTTTTTTTCTTGGTGAGTCTAGCTAAAAGTTTATATTCTCTTTTCAAAGAACCAACTTAGTTGAATCTTTTCATTGGTTTTTTTTTTTTTTTTTTGTCTCTTTTATTTACTTCTGCTCTGATCTTTATTTTCTTCCATCTAGTACCTCTGGGCTTTGTTGGTTGGTTTTTCGTGTTCCCTGGAGTATGAAGTTAGGTTGTTTATGTGAGGTATGTGTTGTTTCATAATGTAAGCATTTATCACTGTGAACTTTTCTTTTTGAACTGCTTTTGTGTCCCTAAGTTTTGGTATGCTGTATTTCTGTCTGCACTTGTGACAGGTATTTTTCAAGAGCATGTTGTTTCCATGTATTTGTGAACTTCCAATTTTTTTCTCCTAATTGTTTTCAGTTTCATACCATTGTGGTCAGAAAAGATGGTTATATGACATACGTGTTGCTAAATTATTGAGACTTATTTCATGGCCTAACATAGAATCAGTCTTGGAGAATGTTCTATATGCACTTGAGAAGAATGGATATTAAGTTCTTTAGGGTGAACTGGTCTGTATATGCCTGTCTGAAGCATCTGTTTTAATGTGTCGTTTAAGGCCAGTTTCCTTTTTATTTTCCGTCTGAATGATCTATGCAGAAATGAAATGTGGGTGTTAAAGGTCCCTGCTAGTATCATTTATTATTTCCCCCTTTAAGTCTGTTAATTTTTGCCTTATGTATGTAGACACCCCTGTGCTGGATGCATAAATATTTACAAATGTTGTAAGTGCTTATTAGATTAACTTTTTAAAAATATATTCTATTGATTATGCCATTGCAGTTCTATTTCCCCCCATTCATTCCCCTCCACCCTGTACACCCCCTCCCCAACTATTCCCCCCCTTTAGTTTATGACCACATGTCTCAAGTTCTTTAGATTCTATATTTCCCCTACTATTCTTGCCCTCCCCCTATTTTCTACCTACCATCTATGCTACTTATTTTCTGTACCTTCTCTCCCCCCTTCTCCATCTCCCACTCCCCTGTTGCTGACCCTCCATGTGATCTTCATTGCTATGGTTCTGCTCCTGATCTAGCTGTCCTCTTAGTTTGCTTTTGTTTTAGGTGTGGTTCTTAATAACTGTGAGTTTGCTGTCCTTTCATTGTTCATCTTTTTTTATCTTCTTTTTCTTAGATAAGTCCCTTTGACATTTCATATAATAAGGGCTTGGTGATGATGAACTCCTTGAATTTGATCTTATCTGACAAGCACTTTATCTGCCCTTCCATTCTAAATGAAAGCTTTGCTGGACAGATCAATCTGGGATGTAGGTTTTTGGATTTCATGACTTGGAATACTTCTTTCCAGCCCCTTCTTGCCTGGAAGGTCTCTTTTGAGAAATCCACTGACAGTCTGATGGGAACTCCTTTGTAGGTGACTGTCCCCTTATCTCTTGCTGCTTCTAGGATTCTCTCCTTCATTTTAATCTTGGCTAATGTAATGATGATGTGCCTTGGTGTGTTCCTCCTTGGGTCTAACTGCTTTGGGACTTCCTGGATTTCCTGGAAGTCTATTTCCTTTGCCAGATTGGGGAAGTTCTCCTTTATTATTTTTCAAATAAGTTTTCCACTTGCTCTTTCTCTTCCCCTTCTAGTACCCCTATAATTTGGATATTGGAATGTTCAAAAATGTCCTGGAGGTTCCTAAGCTTACTCTCCTCATTTTTTTGAATTCTTGTTTCTTCATTCTTTTCTGTTTGGTCATTTTTTCCTTCCTTCTGGTCTGCTCCTTTGATTTGAGACCCAGTTTACTTCCATTACTATTGGTTTCCTGTGCATTTCCCTTCATTTCACTTAGTTTAGCCTTCATTTGTTCCTCTAATTTGTGACTAAAATCCACCAGTTCTGTGAGCATCCTGATCACCAGTGTTTTGAACTGTGCATCTGATAGGTTGGCAATTTCTTGGTTGCTTAGAGTTATCGGCTCCGGGGATTTGAGTTGTTCTTGAGCCATGTTTTGGTCTGTTTGAGCCTGTTACATATGAGGAGGGGAGCCTTAGGTGTTCACGGGGGGGGGGGGGGGGGGGGCACCCAGGTCACTGGTTTGTGAGGCTGTACATGGGGGTGGGGTTAGAGAGGGAGCAATGGCGGTCCCCTCTGCCTCTTCCCACTGCTGGGCCTGCGTGGTCTGTCTCACTGTTCACTCCTTTGATGGTTTATTTGCACGCAAATGTGTGACCACAGTCAGCCTGCCACCTTGCGCCTTCACTGGGTCTGCCCGTCACTACCCCACATCTGGGATCCACTCTTGGCTGTGACCCTGCTCTGCTGCTGGCTCTGCCCCTCTTACCAATCTGGCTGAGTGGTTCATTTTTGTCGGACTTCCGTATAGTTCAGTTTTTTGTGGTTTGGCTGTATTTTTTGTTGCTAAAACTTTGTTGTTTTTAAACTTGGTTGTGCAAGAAGGCACAGTGTTTCCACCTACGCCTCCATCTTGGCGGAAGTTTGTGGTAGATTAACTTTTTTTTTTATCATTATGTAACAACTTCCTATATGTCTTATTCAACTTATTGTCTAAAGTCTGCTGTGTCTGACACGTGTGTAGCTACTTCAGCTTCCTTTCGGTTTCCGTTGGCATGGAAGACTTTTCCATCCCTTCACTTTCAGTCTGTTTCTTAAGATCTGGGGTCTTTTTTATATGGAACCATATAGATGGGCCTTGTTTTTTGAATCCATTCAGCCACTCTGTGTCTTTTGATTGGAGAATTTAATCCATTTACATATAATTACTGATACATAAGTATTTACTGCCATTTTGTTGTTTTCTAATACTTTTGCGTTTCCTTTGTTCCTTCTCTCGCTCCCCAGGCAGCAGCTGGGAAGTTACGTAGTGGCCCTTTCCAGGGAGAAATGGAGATGAGCATTTTTGCCTGGTCTCTGTGCTGGGCCCAGGGGTCTGACACTGAGGTGGAGCCAAGGGGAAGGTTGCTCCTGTGCCCATCAGAAATTGTTACAGTCCTGTGGGACTCATGGAAGAAAGCCCACCAGCTGTCCAGGCTGGGTGCTCTGGGGGCATCCCTTGCGTGGCAGCTGTAAAAGCTCAGGCACAGATGTGTGTACAGGTGCCTCCCACAGAGATACTCATGACTTGGAGTGGTGGATTGGAAGAAGTGGAAGATGTGGTGTGGTCTCTAGGGAAAATCACAGCCAGCCTGCAGGGCCTCCTAGATGAGAAGCCTGGCCCTCAGACGGTAGCTTTTGAGTACAGAAATAAACCTCTTTCAGGGAGAGACTTGGGGGATGAGTGAGTTGCTTGGTACCCCCATGTCGAGCCTTGAGAAGGGCATCGTGATTGCTCGTACACCCGTGAAGAACTGCTTGTTTGCCGTGTCTTGTGGATCCCAGCGAACACCTGTTGGACTTCAGCGCTAGGTGTTTGGGAGCCCGTCACTCCAATAGGGGAAACCTTAAAAGTTGAGGCACTAGATGTGAAGTCTAAACCCTCACTCCTCAGAACTAGAAGGTGGGGGTTCACTCCCAACTGCATGGTGCTGTGCTGGGGCGGGATTAATGGCAAGTCTGTATCTCAGCCTTTCCTCGGGCTGAAAATGTTGGGTGGGCATTTTCTTAGTTCTGTGTGTAGTGTCAGTTCAGTGAGTTTCTGGGTCTCGCAGAGGGAGTTGTTCCATGTGTAGCTGTACATTTGGTGAGTCCACAGAACGAGGGCAGTCAGTAGCTGCTTCCGTCATTATGTTGGTCAGCTCCTCCTTGTCCCCCTCCTTACCATGAATGGGAACTTGATCTGTAAGGAGTTGTTGCAGGCTTATCATCTGTCTCCCATTTTTAAAGTTGCGACCATTGTCACTTTCATTGTAATGCCCCTCTGCATTGCTGGAAGCTTTCCCTATAATTTCTGCATTCTTGTATATTTTATAATTCTGCTTAAGCAAGACTGTCACATGTATTTGTAAAAGCTAACAATAAGAGGGATGAGGGACTCACAGGGCTGTGTTGCGCAGTCCGATGCATTGTGTTGGTTCCTGTGACTCCTTGTGAGGAACAGTGCGTGGCCTTATCAGAACCACTGCCCACTCAGAACCTCTGTGACACAGCCTGGAAGTCTGCAATTTTAACATTAGACTTTTAAACTAAAGTTTGAATTCACCATTGTTTTCATCGACATCTTCTGCCAGTTTTTACACCTGCTAGTTAGTTCTCTTGCTACTTTATTACTGGATGAACTTAACATCTAACTTAACATGCAACTCAATTTCTTAGCCACTGTCCTTCCTCAGAAGACCAATACCAGTATTGGTGCTCCGATTCAGAGGGGTTGAAATAGACACAAACAGCAGAAGCAATGGCAGTATCTTTCTTTCCCCAAAATGTTGGCGTTGGAGAGAGGGCACTCAGAGACTGGTTTGTAACTTGCAAAAGTTCCACAAGTGATTTTGATACGGAAATTTTAAAGTCTAATTTAACAAAAAAGTTTGTGTAATTCTTTGATAGCTTTGTTATTTATCCTATTACTCTTCTACACCAAATCAGAAGTAGAATGTCTTTTCTTATACACACGTTTAACAAATAATCTAATTGTGATTTAGATTTTAGCATTAATTATGGTTTCTTTTTCTCATAGGTGTCATCTTTAAGAAATGAAAAGCGAGGCTCATCGTATCTCATCTCTGCCCCAGAAGGCGGCTCAGTGGAACTTGTTGAGCAACATTCTCAGGGCACCGGAGCATACTACATGGAGACCTACTTAAAAAAGAAGCGCGTGTACTGAGTTAAGTCCTCCCCTTATATAACCTCGTAAGGTTCTTTGCAGTATCTTTGCTGTTCATCGCTGCCTTAACTACATTCATACTACCCATATCCTTTAAATACGGGTTTATAATTCCCCAGAAGGAACTGTGTTGTGCAGCAGGCAAAATTGCCAAATAAGAAGTAAGTAGCAATAAGAAGAGACATCAGTTGAGGACATTTTCATCACCACCAGAATTAAATGCAGCTTAACGTGATATTAACTTATAGTCCATTGCAGAAATTAACAATATTCCTTGTTCTAGGACTGGGAATAATTTTGACACCACATATGAAACTTTGAAGCAATAAATAGGAAACGGTCTTGTTTCCTAGGCCTTAGAAGAATGAATTTCTTACAAGCCAATGTGCATTTCTATTTACATTCCCTAGAAGAAATCTCATTTATAGATTTTTAGAACTTCTCCTTAGAACTCTAAGAGCACGAGTACGAGACACAGCAATGGTCACGTGCAAACAAATGCTCTGCGTGCAAACTAAATTATTCCCCCCACACCAGCCATGTAATAGGTGTACACTCCCACGAGTCTTTCCTTTTAATCTGTTATTAACCATTTATGCCTTTTGTGAAGAAAAACAAGGTACTTTAACAAAAGTAGCTTTGGCGATCTAATTTCAGGGGTTGGCAAACCATACCCTGGGGTTAAATTCAGATCTCCACCTGTTTGTTGTACAGCTAAGAATGTTATTTACATTTTTAAATGGTTGGCAGAAAAATGAAAATTTTATGACTTTGAAATTATATGGAATTCAGATGTGCCCACACACACAGCTTTCCTGGAACACAGCCATGCTTGGTCACACGCAAGCAGCACTGCGCAGTTCGGGCAGAGACGCGCAGGCCTGCACAGTCTAATGTGTTTCCTCTCTGGCCCTTCACAGCGAGTTTGCTAACCCCTAATCTAACAGTACTAACTGCCTAATCCTTTTACTTCACCTAAAGAAGGAACTTAACTTTTGCAGCTGATTTATAAGTGGCAATGAACATAAGTTTCTGTCTCATTCCATGGCATAGGATAGTGATGATCTAATTACTAGAACAGGGCCTATTTTGATCATTAAATGCATTATTTCCAAAATATTATATAGTGAAGCAGTCAATACTGCCCTTTCTGAAGGAGTCTTAATGGAGTAACAGTGTTTATAACCATTTTAAGCTAATAAGCAAAATTTTACCTCACTCTCTGCTTTGTCTCTTACTCTTTAGTAGTATGTTAGGCTAAAAATTGTTTGTAACTTTTGACATCCCCATTTCCTGAAGACTTGGGTATTAAATGCATGGGAAACCTTTTGCCATCTAGAAATATATGTAAGTAAGTTTGTTCCTTGTTATGAGACTGTAATTGATGATGAGTTTAGGGGCCCCAATGATCATAGTCTTTTTGAACTCAGATCATTAAATATCTTGTAATTTGGGGGAATTATTTTTGAACAAGATAAAAGGTATCCTGTTTTACTTATGAAGTTAAAAATCGGTGCACATGTTGTATGATTTGTAAAGATTACTTGGTCTAATTTATTGCATATATTAACCTCTTTTGGGAAATGACAGCTAGAAAACTAGACTAAGACAATTTCTAAGTAGGCTTCCTACGAGTAACTGATCAGGATAGGCATCGCTCACTTACGACTCAGCAGATGAGTAATGGAGTCCCTGAGCTCTGCACTTCCTTATTTTCCAGTTGCATTGAGCTTCTTCAATGCTTAGTCACACCTCTGTGATTGTACAGATGAATTTTAACTAAGCTGCAAAGTGAAAGTGGGAAGAGGCGAAAGAAAAGCTGTTTGTGATCACAGCCCACGTGGATCTGCCACCCGTCCCCCACTGTCAGTGGAAGTAACAGATAAGTGCAAATCAATTCTTGTTAGTAATACGGACCATTACCAACCCTCCCAAACTCTATATTGTTATTTTTCTAAGTAAACAAATTGTTTGAAATGCTTTGAAAATGGAGTCTTAATATTAAAAGGCATATGCATGTGAAGTCTGTTGTATATTTATTTGTATAAAGAGTAAACAAAGTGCATACAGAGTGGCCACAGGTTTGACACAGACACGTTGGTAATGTAGGGTTAGCGAACAAATTTCAATGGCGAGTCTACTGTTGCCATTGAATCAATTCAGAACTCTTTTTTTAAGGTGAAAAATAATGATGTCAAACAAATGCTAGATAGCATCAATGGTTTTTCAGACTCTTGGTCATGAAGATCGTATGGTTCACGTTGAATCACAGAGCAGGCATCTTTGATTACCAGCTACCCCCAAGCAAACTGGAAACTGTCTAGTGGATCCAGACTCCACGGTGCTGCTAGCAGGATCTTTTCTTTCAAGTTTTATGCTATAGGGCAGCGATTTTCAACTAGTCGAAAAGAACTTTTAAAGCATGCAATCCCTGGCTACTTAGTCAGGAGCATTGACCTCTTTCCCCTTAGATTGTCAAATACAGAAATGACAACGGCCAACACAACAATGGCTGTCCAGTGTGAATGAATCAAAATATGTAATTTTTTAGTCAGATAGGCAAAAAAGACATTTTTTGGTGTGCTGCAGTCATGAGATGAAAAGGTTGGAAATCGCTGCCCTAGGGTGATGGACTCTGGAAGAGGGACCGTGAGTACTGAAGCTCTCCAGGAACAGTGCAGTGTCTACGGCATGTACTCTGACCGGCTGCATACTGCCTCCGACACCGTTGCTGGAACAGCGCGCCCCTAAGTGGTAAGCTTGTAAAAGGATATACATGTTGACATTTCTTAAAAGCATGTATAGTAGCATCCATGTTCTTGGAATCAAATCTGATTAAAGGTACACCGTTTAGGAAAGCACTGGCACAGGCTTAGTTCTCAAGAACGAACATCATGCAGCGAAGATCTATTCCACAGCTGTCCCCCGAGGTACAACCAGTTCTCTCTCAAAAAGTGGGTACCACAGGTCACCCAAGGGGACAGGAGCTAAGCCACTGAAGAAACAACTCAAAGTTTAAGTCCTATGGTGAGAGGAATACACTCAGCTTTCTACAGAAACAACAGTACGCTAACTGGTATCCAGTATTTCAAGGACGCTTGGTCTATCACTGTACAGATGACGAGATTTCAGGGCATGTTAGAGTATCAACTACGTCCATTAACCTTTGATTTACGTGCCAGAGAACAGTTAAAATCATCTGGCAGGTGGGAGAAAGCAATCTTGTTGAGGTTTTGAAAAAATCCCATTCTAGTGAGCAGTCGTGATGGCGGAACGGCCTTTCCGAAAGGAAGAGCGCTAATGTTTTGGTTGTCGTTAAACTTGGCACCAGTAACACAGTGACAAACGGAGAGGAAGTACTTACACGTGTTAAGCACCGCAGTGTGCCTTATACATGGATATGTACCCAAGTATCTTTTTAGACAGGAAACAGTTTTTCCATTAAAATTATTCTAAATGGCTTGGGTATTCTGGGGGGAAAGGGGAGGACTTGCTACACTGTGTTTTAAATGTTACTTATGCTCCTTATTTTAAAAGTGCTTCAAATCCTTCGATGAGGTTCTGAAAGGTTGTCCGATTAGATGGTTGGAATTCCCAGCATTTTCTCATAAGTTGATAAACCTGTAAAAAGAAAAAACAATATCAGTAAAATGTTAAATATGGGAGCTTTATAAAAAATTAGATACATTGACTAACAAAATTTTAGAAATGTAAATGACTTAAAGCCAGATAACAAGAGTATTAGCATAATTTAAAATATAATGTCATAACTATAGTTCATAAATCTTTTAACATTGAGAAGCTCATGGGTTAAATAACCTTTAAAAAACTCAGGTCATTAATACCATAAACCAATTTAAGGGTAAAGTTGTATTTCACTTTAGAACAAACTGAATTTCATAAATGCTGTTAATAAGCGGGATGAACTCACAACCAAGCAACACCAGAATATGCTCCTTTGGGTGGTGAGGGTACTTTTGGAGGGAATCCTTGCTTTGAACATAATTTGTGGCTGTCATCTGGCCCAAACATGATTTCTCAAATATCTGAAATTCAGCTTGGGAAAATGATTTTAAGGGAATTTTCTACTCCTTCCTGCTCTTCCCACCCCCACCCCTCTGCTGGGTATCTCAAGCTGTGAGAACATAATAAAAATTGAGTTTCATGACCGGAAGTGGCCCAACCCACAGATACCTCATCTGGACAGTTAGGCGGACAAGGCAAACGCTTTCCCTCTTTCAGTGTGTTCACAAGTCTCGTTACTGTCATCTGGCCGTGGGTGGGGCCGATCATTTTCAGGAACAACTATGTGAGTTAAAAAAAAGTTTTACTTTGCACATATTTATATAAACACAAATAGATTAAGGTGAAATTACTAGAATTAACTGGGAATTAAAATAATAAAACGACTTTTTCCTTAGTAACTTGAAGTGAAAGTTCAGAATCCTTTTTAGCTCTCACCAGTCAGCTGGGATCAACCCACCACTCCTGGCTGAGGAGCCTTTTCCAGGGAGACTGGCCTCATTTAGGAACACGGGAGGTGCAGACAGGAGTCCACCAAGTGCTTCTTCACACACTTACAGACCCCTGGACATCAGGGTTGTCACCCTGGTCACGTGGCTCAGATGGTTAGAGCAGTTATCCTGGAAACCCAAAGGTTGTGGGTTCAATTCCCAGTCAGGGCGCATCCAGGAGGCAAGTAATCGGTGTTTCTCTCTCTCTAAAAATAAGTGAAAACATCCTCAGGTGAGGATTAAAAAAGGGTTTTCTTAGAGAACTCTGGGCTCCTTCTGAAACCAAGACTCGACAGAGCCAGAAGTACGTGTCAAGTAACAAACAAGGAAAAGCAACACACCGGCTGCATTCTACTTAAGGACAAAACAGAGGATGTTCAAATGAAGATAAGTAAACTCACCGCCATGGGACTGGAGTCTGAGTCACAGTACGTAAGCAGCTCGTGCAGAGTCACTCCGAAAGACCAGACATCAGAGGCAATGTAAAACTTACACTGAATTAAACACTCCGGAGCATACCTAAAAAAGAATGGACAAACATAAAAGTCCCATTTCCTGGGAAGGATATTCCAACAAATACCTTACAGAGTAGCTCAGAAAAACCACCTTTGATTTTCCTTAGAATTTAGAATTCTAAGACATGTAAGTACGTGTTAATCACTAGAGGCTGCTGCTTTCAGCAGTACAGATGGGCTCCAGAACAGCAGCAAGGTGATGTGCGCTCTCCGTGTGGAGGAAGCGGACGCACGTGACCACAGGCCCCAGACTGTGTTTGCCTGCAGGGACTCCCTGCCCAGTCCTCTTCCAGTGTCAGTAGTTCTGATGAATGACACCCAAGTACCTGAGCCAGCAATGGAGGGTTTCCCAAATCCGATTTCCTAACTACTTCTCAACCCTACTCACCTCCTAAAGCCCCCACCACTGTCCTACTTCACACCGTCACTGGCTCCAGCCCAATCAGACTGAGGCTCCAATCTTTACTACTCTCCATTCCACAGTGATCTTTCTGAAGCAAAAGCTCCCATCCCAACATCGCCCCTCCCCAGGGCGACCCAAAGCTCTTGGGATGGTGCCCGAGCTCTGCAACTCCTCTTCCAGCATTCTGCCTTAACCCCCACCAGAGACACACTCCAGCCGCCCTTGGGCTGATGTCAGTTCCTGGACAGCCACTGCTCTTGCCTCATCCTGTGAGTCACGTATGCCTCCTAATGGCTTTACAAAGCCCTGTGGAACTTTTAGGTTTTATAGTTAGGACTTCCAGAAACCCAAGTCTGAAGCCGCCTATACTCACGGTATCACAAAATTGGCTGCCTCACCCATTAAATTCAGTCTGCTTGTTTGTGTCTTGACACATGTTAAGGGAATGAATGAAGGTTTTGGCTCTGTGGGTGGGAGAGCTCTGTGTTTGTGCCTCTGTAAGAGGTAGTACCTCCCAGGTGTGATCAGTTTTATGGGAGTAATAGGGTGTGGAGTGGACTCTTAGCAACTTCTCTCCTGGACAGAGTTCCAGGCAGACGGGTGGAAGTCCGAGCGTGACATTCTGACCTGGGTAGTTGGGCAGGTTTCCCCTGGATTTCTGTCCACTCTGTCCAGAATCTCCTTGCATCCGTTCTGTGCCTGCTTCGTCACCTCACTGCTTCCCCCTTCTCTCGCCTGTCCTGCCTCTGCCTGGCTGTGCCTCCTCCAGCTGCTAACAGTTCTGAGAACTGGAGAGACGCCCCCTCCTGGGAGGCTGTCGGATTTACTCCTCGGAAGATGGTCTCACAAAGCTCAGGAATTTCTCTCTGGGTTGCTTTTTGTAAACACAACCCTAAAGCTACTTCTTGAAAGCAAAGAGTAATCAATCCCAAATGTTCTAAGTTCTTTCTGACCCCATGGAACAGCACAAGACCTATGAAACACTGATGAAATCAAACTCTGATTCAGTTACCAAAACACAGGGCTGTCCCGGTCGTCCTTGACGGTGTAGTACTCCTTGTCGGTTTCAATTGCTTTGGTTAAACCAAAGTCTCCAATTTTCACTTGGTGCTCACTCTCAACAAGGACGTTCCTTGCTGCTAAGTCCCGGTGGACGTACTGTCGTGAACCCAAATAGTCCATCCCCTAAAGGAGAGAAGTAAAGGCAGAGTGTATTGCTGAAGGTCAGTGCAGACTGTATTTTGCATAATCAGTTCATAGCAAAAAAACTACAATGAAATTAGTGTCATTTCATGTTACATATCACTTTTTTCTTTATGCAAAAATAGTAAGACCAACCTGATTCAAAGAAAAATACATTAAATCAGCTCTACATAACAAATCAGTTTTTTAGTAGAAGCTAATTTTTCATTCAAATTAAGTAGACCAAAATTAACTCAGTATAATTATTGGAAAGTCTAAATACAAACCATTTATCCAGGGCCGAGTGCCTGATTTTTTAATCTTTAACATGCTTTTTTATTATTTATTTTTACCTTACAAATCTGAACGGCATATTTTAACTGCTGTTTGAGG